AGAAAGAGTAAAAAGGAAAAAAAAACATTCTTCAGTGTACTCCGTAAAATTGAAAAAAAAAAAAATAAACGATTAACGAGCTTCTTTTTTCCGTATATTAACGATATTATAAAATATCGCGTAATGCATAAATATAAATAAATGAATATATATATATATAAATTAATTAAATGAATGAGCAAGTGAATAAAGAAAGAAAGAAAAAAAATGAAAATTCTCCGCCCGGTTGTTTCGCCGTCTGTGGATGCAAACCCCCGGGGAAACCTTCGTTTCCTGATTATCAATTGTAACAAACGTACCTCTTGTCTTTCTTGCGTAAATGAAGGAAATAAACGATGAGAACGAATGAAATGCGACCGAGAATGGGGTAGAGGAGATATGAAAATGACAGGGAAGATAATCACGGTAATGATGATGATGAAGGAACGATCGATCATTCGGAAGTTGATGTGTATTTAACGTATGTAGCATAGTATGTATGAAACTTCCACGAAGGAGGCTTCGCTCGTAATTGCGCACCTGTGAATTAATTCTTTGTCGCTGTAGCCGCGACACCGATTTTTTCAATAAAAAAGAAAAGGGAGAAAAAGAAAAAAACGCTGGACCGGTCAACGAAATTTTTTTTTTTTTTTGCCACGGTCGAGCATTCCGACTCATATGTGTGTGTGTGTGTGCGTTGACGACGAAAGTAACCGAGGATACAAACGCTTACCCACGATGGCGTTTCTAGCAAAAATGAGATAAGAAAAAATAAATGAGAAATACGATTAAATCGATCGCGGCACTCGGATCGAACACCCCGCGTCACGATCGATCCCGTGCGACCCGGATCGATGATAAAAAAAAAAAAAAAATAATACGGTGAAGACGTAGAAGAGAGAGAAAAAGAAATGATATATATAGTTCTACGTATATATACACACACGTATATATATACATATATATACAAGGAGAACAACGTCGACATATTTTCTAACGCGCGTCGCGTCTTTAGGCTATTATTGCATTAATTGTAAGACATTGCAATTAATTAATGTATGTATGTAAGCGTTCATTCGTATTTTTCACACAGTAAAAAAAAAAAGATTATTATTGTCTTTATTATTATTATTATTATTATTATTATGATTATGATTATTATTATTGATTATTATGATTATTATTATTATCTATTAATTATTATTATTATATAAAAATTCAATAATAGTTGTTGGTGTAATATTATGAAATAAATCTTTAACGATAGTAAAAAAGAACCACCCGTGATCGTTTCTTCTCGTTCGCCTCTCCTCCATTCTCGATGCTCGACGATGAACTGAAAAGGTACGTAATGTTTCAATATGCAACTACTGTTTCATAGAATGCAAATAAAAATATTATATGTCCCTTAGTTTTTTTATTTTCAAGTACAAACTTAAACATTTGTTAAACATTTCTTTTCTTTACGCCTCATGTATTTCTCGAAAGTAACTACATGAACAAATATTTACGACAATAAGGTAAGTGAAGTCTCGTTACGAACCAGTCTTGTCTAACGAGCATGTGTAATCGACTTTAACGTTAGGTGTCGCTAACTTTGAAATTCGATAATGAGTAATTACGTCTCATGGATAGAACGCTATTCTCGTCACTAATTTTCCAACAAACATAACTCACGTTTAATCTGTTTACTAGGTTAATGCGGAATAGTATCAATTTTGTTTTGCGTCTTGCAAATAAAGGCTTCTCCACAACGGGCTTTAGGGTTTTCCTTCTTTTTTTACATTTAATTGCAATCATTTGTACCTTAATTGTATATATAAAAGTCCGATATATTCCACACTAATTGCGTTCCATTAAAAAAGAAAATCCTAAAGCCCCTTGTGGAAATTTCGTCGAGGATACAAGGTACTCGATAATTTCTGTTTGGTCCACGAAGACCGTAAACGTTATCATATGATCCCTCTAAAGGCGAAGATATCGTCGATCCCTATTCGAAAGCATAACAATCCTCTCCATCCATCTTGCCTTTCTTAGAACTTATCGACCTAACGCTCTCACACAACAGGCTGCATTTTCGATTTCAGTTTTCGCGATATTCGGCTGGGTGGAACGCTTTCGAAAGCTTTGGAGAACCAACGGATAGTCAAGGTGATGAATGATGTTAATCACCGATTTTCCATCAGTGCCGCGTTGAAACGGGAACCCTTCGACGATAAATCACGGATAGTTGGGACTGCCCAGGCTGCACCGTGAAAGCAATGACGTCAAAGATGGGAGAGCAGCGAACGTAGGATTGCGATTCGTCTTCGAACGCAACGCGTGAGAGCTTAAACGACCTACGGCGAATGCGTGGGCGAAATAATAAACGAAGGTCCCTACCAGGCTTGTGTCCAAAGCAATATTTTCTAAACTACCCCTAACGAGTCTCTAACGATCCAGAATGGACGCGAAGGAAAATGTTTAACGTAGAAAAATGCGGACAGCTTAAACATCACTTTTTGTATTAACCTTTTCCACTCTAATTAATTGGGTTTTACGTCACCAGTCAGCTCCGAGAAGTTTATTTCTCATTTTTTTAAGTTACGCGATAACTACGGAACAATCTTGACCATTTGTTAGATTATACGTCCTCTCTTCGTAATTAAAATTCGTGTTAACGAAACGTACGCTGTATCAAATATCTCTTTCTATAATAAGCTCTTGAAGCTCGGAAATTTTCTTTTTTTTTGGGGGGAAAGGCCGCCTTCGAAAAAATTTGGAGACCACTAATTCAGAAAAATGATACGAAGTAAACCACGAGAAAACAAATGGATATATCGAAGTTTACTGCGACCAGGACAAACGATGGGGGACTTCGAATTGGACAATAAAATACGTGGAAAGGAAAGAGCCACTCTCGTGCGTGGGCAGTTAGTGGAAGAAGGAAATGAATATTTCATAGAAACACGCGGAGAGATGGCGCATATTCGTTCTCGGTTCGCCTCGACCCCAAGGTATCTTCATAATTCTCGCGTTACGTTTATGAATGCCAAACTACAGCCGCTAGCTCCTTGGGCTCAGTTGATTAGCTATCTTGACGCTCCAGGTTCTGACGGTTTCAGAAGCTTCGGTTTTTTTTTTATCGCGTACGCTTCTTCCTTCACCTTCATCGTTGCGTTTTAATGTCATTAATTAGAGTTTCAAGGAACTTAAACACAGATTATGGCAACTAAAGTGGATCGTCGATTATTGGACCATCGATTTTCCCCCTGTTCTACCGTATCTCTTTTTGCCCAAAAGCTTCGGATCCGAAGAAGTTTTCCACCGGACAGAAGATCAACAGCGTAGTAAATGTTCGTCCTTCCCCTCTACTATCACAAAATTCAGGTCAGTGTTCGTCTCTGGGAATTTCAAGACAGTGATCCGACGACCGCGGTCCGCGTTAGAGCACGTGTTTGCGTGTACGAAACAAGTTTCCCCGTTCTCCGGAAATAAAGACTCGGTGGTGCATTCAAATTACTCTCATGCGGCGATACCGTCGCTGTAACCGTTTCTTTATCGCAGTGTTTCTCAAAGTTTGTCCCGAGTGATTTATTTTTACGACATTGTTCAAACTTCAGACAGATCTATTCGAACAAGTGTGTTTTAAACATCCTAATTCGATGGTAACGTAGAATTAAGTTATTCTTTCTTTTGGATATTTTAAAAGATGGATTTACATTTGTAAAATTTGATACAAATTAAACGTATCCATATATATTTAATTGAACTATTTTGTGCGTGGCTTATTAAAGAAAGTGCTTTTAAGCTAACCGTGAAAAAGTCTTTAATTACTATTTCGAGTAACGAAAATCATTTTTGAAATTCTAATAAATACACCTAAGCTGCACCTGTTTCGAGAAACACTGCTGCATGGTGCCTCGCGATTCGTGCAAGCTCTGCCCAGTTTCATAGACGAATTAGGCGTTGTTACTCGCAATCGCGATGTTTCGTGTGCCGTTTAACCGCGGATTAAGAAAGGAATCGACGACGATCCGGTCTCTCGTGTCCAAGGACCATCGAGGAGTTTCCAAGACGTCGGAAACATCTGATAAATATTTAAAGAAGCGGTCGAGCATTAGCCGACGGAGAACTCATCCTCTTAACTGTTTGCGCGCGATTGAAGCGAAAGAATAATTCCAAGGCCAAACGCAACGTCGAGTGGCAGGATTTCCCATGGAAGCGACCAAGTTGCTTCGAGTCGTGAAAGAAAAAGGACGGAACGTGCCCAGACAAGGACAAATGGAAACTCAATGCGCGATATTCCTAACGAGTCGCCTTCGTTTGAAGAGAGTATCAAGCTCGCGTGCGCTAGATATTATTTTCCAAACTTTCTTGGCCGCGATCCACTATGAAAAACACATTTCACATCATAGTGCACGTGTTATAAAGTGACAGCATCAAACTAAATATTCGATATTCTTTTACTAAATTTACATATGAACTAATTTGTCATCTCATTGCAAAATGTGAGAACAGGAATCGTATTACATTAGATAGCAGATTACATTCCAACATTGGAAATGTTAGATCAACTCGTTAACTCGGGACCCTGTATACTAATTTTACATGGAGATGAAGAACGGTTAGAATGAACAAGACATTTTTACTTTTCGGCTTCGAGAAGTCATTTACAACCCAAGAAGTGGTTGGGATAATTTTGTTTCAACTCGAGGAACGAAAGTCGTCTCACCGCGATGAATATTGCTCCATCAGAGGGGAGGAATACCGAGGAATAGTTTGACCAACCAACGCCGAAGCGAAGAAGCCGCGACGAATCGAAGGAAGAATCGCGGCTCTTCGGGCGACAAGCTGGATGGCCTTGGTGCCGCGACCTTGGCACTCCTGGTCTATGCGTTCCGTAAAGTAGGCGCGGCCCTGGATTACGCCGCTATGGCGTCGCGACGAGCGTGCGCGAGAAAGCGCCGGGGTGGTTTCCTCGCTCCACCTCGGAGGGACCAGCCAGACGGGACAGCCGGTCAGACGCTACTCAAGCCAGAGTCGCGTCAACGTCCTTCCGTGTACATCCTCTCGACGTCCAGCCGTGACGTTCATCTGTCATCGTGCTTCAATCTCACCGACACGCGGATCCTTCGCTTTACGCTCCTTCTAGACCATTCTTCACCTGACATCACCACGTTTCGCTCGCCCCAGATCCGTCAGGAAACACGGAGATAACTTTCAACCAGGAACCAGCTCCTACCCTCGGTCTCGAACCACCGCTCGGCCACCGTTTCTCCTAGTTTCGTGTGCCAGTAGTTCTCTCAATTTTCGCGCCTCCCTGTCCGTCCGCTCGAGCGCGTGCGAAGGAAAACACGGGCCAACGAAACATCGGCGGGAAGGTCCAGGCGACAACGCGCGACCACCTGTAGTTGTGGCCTCGAGCCACCGCTGGCTCATCGGACGAACCTCCTCCGTGACTCCCCCACCCTTGTCGAACCCTCTGCTTCTTCGGGAACCCCGGGACCGAACCCACAGCAGGACCCAGCGTCGTCGAGGAAGCCGATCGCGACCAACAGCACCACCGCCAAGGCCAAGGGCGACCGCATCCAGACGCGCACAAGTCTGCCAGGATTACCACCAAAATGAAGACGTCATCGTTCTCTCTGCGCGTCATGCGACGGGTAAGTGAGCAACCAATTTATGAATATTGTTTACGGGTATGTTCGTGTTTTCGATTCTGGAAGCCTCACGGTTGAATCTTTGAGTGCACTTTCTGCTTTTGAATTCGTTGGTGGGGATTGTACTTGTTGTGAATCTTTCGTAACGGGGGAAGGGAAGGTTAACCCTTAACTGGACGTGTGTTACTTTCTATGTGATAGTTAACTTTTTATCAGACATTTGAGCCGTTCATTGATTCATGAACGGCTTATTTGTTACGTAGGATGTGACAGTAGAATGTGACAGCATTGACGTCTGGTATGGGTTAAATTTACATACGAACTGTTCGTATAACCGTGTGCAAGCAACGTTCTATTCTTTCTATAATTCTCACACTATTCTTGCTTCTCAGTAAAATCACAGAGTTTATGGTGTATCATCTTTGCTGATTTGAAAACACACAGTTATAATTCGTCTAACAGAACCATTGCAAAAATCAAACTACGTGAATTGCTAGGAACAATATCACGTGGCAAACTATCTCTTTCGATTTTTAAACGCAACACCTTTCAAAATTGCCTCCCAGTTGTGGACCGCTAAAACGGTGGCACGAGCTTGAACAAGTTAAGAACCACTGCGTCAGATAGTGAAACAAAGCGTTCACTTTCGCTCGACTTGGCATCAATTTCCACTTTCGCGTCACTCCGTTAGATTTACTCAAAGTTCCTGGCGTCGAAGGATACGGTTTTTTTGGTATGGTTTGTGCCCGAGACGATAAGCGATTCCCGGTTGAAAATATGGTCGTAGTTTCCCGCGCGGATATTACGCCTGACCGCGGTACCATAAATAATTTGTTTGGCAAAAATTCGTGCCAGCTCGGTACGCGTGAATCCGGTCATGCACAAATCTACCCATGAGTAAACTGATTTATTTGCTTAGTTGTGGTTCCCCCGATGCATATTCCATTCGAATGCATATTCAACCGCGATACGCGTTGGCCATGGTTATAATTCGAGAGGGGCGAGACGGTCACCGTGGAGTTAAGGCTACCAAACATGTACTATGATTTAGGTGGTAAAACAAACGTATACCCTCATTTGCCACTTATCAACGCCACGAGTAGTGACGCAATTTTGTCATACCAAATATTCTTAGTATCTTGTATTTAGGACAACTTTTGCATACACATTTTTAATATGTTAACACATTATCTGCTGGGAGTGAATTCACGTCACTTTAGATTCTATTCCTGGTATTGATAAAATTATGAAAATTTTTACATAATATACTCTCATATAGCGGGTCGATTAATTTATTATAGAATATAGAATATTATTATAATAAATATATATTAATATTATTAATACAGAATTTAATTATAGATGTAGATATGGAAGGTTCCATTTAAAAACATTGGTTTTTTAAATCTCTTTCACGATTATACTTGCAAAAAAAATGATTTATTTCATACAACGCCCCTCTTTGTACCGAATGTCTTTTGTAATAGTTTCATGTCCTCGTGTGATATTTAATCATTCCGTGTTAATTGAAACACCTTATACGTGTTCACCTCGAACGAGACGTGAGGCCTCGAAACGAGTTCACCATGGCTGGAGTTCTTTGGTGGAAAATTACTTCGAGCAGTGCACGGTTTACGTAATGGTACCTGGCGATCAATTACCCTTGAAACGTCTGCTACCGTCAGGAATATTATTTGAAATAGCCAGCGCGCAATATCGACGTTGAGCGCGTTAATTGACACGACCAGCGCCGCGAAATTGCGCCAGACCCACGTGAAACTGGCGATGAAACCAGTACTTTTCAATTATTGGGTTGGACAAAAAGTGTTCTCGTGCTTTTTACCAAAAAAAACAAAATTCCCATTAAGAGCGGCGTAATTAGGTCTCGTTTGAAATTCGTGTACGTGCACTCGAACTAGCAGTTAACGTTTGAACAATTCTTCATCGGAAATAGAATTAGACGTAATTTCGACTACCAATTTTTTTTTTTTAGTAATCGTTGAACTTTGCTTTTAGAAGGAAATGACACGAAGACTGAAAAAAGAAATACGAACTCGAAAATATCGATTTTTGCACTTTTCAGTTGGCAGCAGGAATAAATAGAAAATTTCTCCAAGGCAACGACGCGATTCGTCTTTCAGTGATTCCTAGCGAAATTCTAGGAACAAAGCAAAGTTCTCGAGACGATTCTCGACCGAGCTGCAGAGCTCGAGCGAGATCTTATCCTTGGGTGAAGCACTCGTTCAGTTGGATTCAGACGGTCTCCGAGAAACTTGGTCCCCCGTAATAGACAATTAAATTGGAAAACGCAGTCGCGTAATACGACGACAAACTCGAGGAGCTCGAATTGTAATAACTTCGTCCCTCCGTGGGCCTAATAACCTCGGTTCGCATCTGAATTTGCGAGAACCCGACGGCGAGATTAAAACGTGATTTTCATTTTCGCTGGTGGTCTGCATGATACCGCTTAATTACTAATTTCGCGGCTCCCTGGCCGGCTTGAAATATTATTCTTTCGAGCGAACGCGGCGAGAGTGAAAGAACGAGGAAAGAAGAGGAAGGAAAACGCGATGAAGGGTTTACGTCTCGTTGGCGATGTAAACACAGAGTATCGTCGCGAATTATTTATAACGAAAACATATAACAGATTCAAACGAATGTTGTTTCTGTGAATAAAAGGTAAATAAAACAAAATTCACCTCGAAAACATGAAAAGATAAGTCAAAATAAAATCCTTTAAAAATGTAATATTATTAAAACAATTGTGTTCTTGTAAATTCACGTTGCTCTTACAAAATGCAGAAGGATTCATCTCGGTTCCTTTCATTCTTTCTTCGTTATTCCCGATGGAATCTTGTTCAAAATTTCCTTTCCGCTCTATTCGATCCCGTGTTTTGTTCGGCTTTGGTTGTCCGAGCCGTCCAACTGGAGTATTATCTAGATATTTCCCGTGGGAAACCGTTATTTCCATCTGACGCATGGAAAACACAAAGAGGTCGGTTCGCTTCGCAGAGACCCGTAAAACTTTGTCCCTGCCTGTCCTCTTTGAGCACGCCATAATACAAAGAGGCATTTCATGCCACGCCTCGAACAATCCAAATTTCAAAGGAGCCACTACCTCACGATTTTCGTAGAAATAGGTAAAATCTGGCAAAGCTTCGAAGTTCTACTCGCTTGGAAAAATAGCGTCGTCTACATGAAACGAATCGAAGAGAAAGTCTACATTTGCCGACAATAGTGCAACACAAGTCCATCAATTTGTTCGTTTCGTGAAAATAATATTCTTTAAACTTTTTGTACCCAAAAAATGGAAAACGGTCACTTTATCTGCCATGGTAGGTTCAGTGTTAACGTAAGACAGTAGATATGTCGCGCATGGGTCAGACTCGTGCGTGTCTGACCATTTAGGGGCACGACTACTGTGAACGGCCACTCTTCTTCGTGCCAACGTAAAATGAAGAGGTTTCTAAAAAGAAACTTCAGGATTTTGTTTTTAACAAAACACAAGAAACATCTTTAAAATTAATTTGCTAAATTTTTCAGGAATAAACAACTACTGGCAATTCAACAAATTTTATACTTGAGTAATTCTAACGGCATAACGTATTACCAAATGCTCGAAAGGGTTAAATAGTACCCTTTTCGTGATGAATCGTGTATTCTACTTTCCTCTCTAGATGCTCTCTAGACACCTAGAAACTTTAAGCACACTCTAAACTACAATGTACAAAGTAAAATATAAACTTTACTAACTTTTCAGAAATTCTCTCACAAAGCCACGAAACGTGTTTCCTTTAAGCAGACTTGCACTCTAACTCTCAACGAACCATGTTTTTCACTCGGATACCCTTTCTCGCAAATAGAAATTACGTTGTCGATAGGATTAATTGTAAGGTGCCTTCGTTTATTTTAAATCATCCGGGAGAAGTACTTGGACTGCGACGCCAAACTTTTTCCAAGGCTGGGAGTACTTCCACCGCTAAGGGTTTACAATTACCGCAGTAGTTCAAAGTAGGTTTCCTTCACCCGGTTCTACGTTAGCCTAGAAACGTTCCTCCGACATCCTCGCTCAGCGAGGCATCTTCGGCGTTCGGTTTTCTCCGTTAATACGTTTCCCACGCTCGCATCCTTGCGGCGTCACGGTAAATGGTCGAATTTCCTGGAAAACTGTGCACCCGTGGAAAGTCGATAAGGAGACAGACGTCTCGAAAATCCTTTTACCTTCTCCCGCGGTCCTACCTCTCGCGGGACGACGCTTGGCTAACGCTCCTTGGAAGTTTTCTCATTTCCCCGGGAAAACAGGACAAGACCTATCGTATTCCATGGGTTCTCCATTGTCAGCTCGCTTTTTCTATGCCTGGACTGCGAACCGTTAACGCGATTTTCGGAACGTCGATTCATCGGATTAACAGCGCAACTTTTCGTTAGTCCGGCGCCAGCTGAACTGGATTCTCAATCAGGTTTTCTTTTCGCCTCTGGTAGCGATGGGACATACCAATAGGATTCAACGAAATACTCGGTAGAGAGGTTTCTTAATTACTTAGGTAAAGAAATCTATTTTTAAGTGTTTCAGCGAGGAACTAAAGAAATTCGTTTCGGAAGAGGCGGTGTTATGGCAAATAAATTTGGATTGGATTTGTGAATTTTGACGAGGTTGCCGAAATAAAAACTACTACGAAGGTTAAATTTTATGGTCGTCTATTTAATAAGAGTACGAAGAAAAAGGCGTGGTGAAGAGGAAAATTGAAAATTTCTATTACAGTGGCGAATAAGGAACTTTAAGATGAGATTGGCCCGCCTAATTTAAGTCTCTCTTGGACCAGGACCAAAGTGGTTAATATGGTCTCCTCTCTGACGACGTACCATAAGCATGAGGTTCACGATTAGTAAAATTTCTAAAAATGAGAAAGCTAGGATAAGTGAAACTCTATATATACTTCCTCGAACAAAAAGAAGGCACAGTGAATAAGAAAACGGAAAATTTCCATTAGATAAGGGAATAA